ACGGTGTGTAATCTAAAATATCATGAAAACAGATTATTCATCTCAAACAAAAAATTCATTAACATTTAAATTCGCATTCAATTCGAACACAAACTTAGCGCAACGACACGTGTATCAGATTGCAAACAGCGTTGATTGTTTCATAAATTCTTTCATTTTCGTTGACAAGTTAAGAGTTGAGATTGTGAAAGTGAACTGATAATTTTGATATTATTAGTGAATTTCTGCAATTGGATATTGATGATAGCATTGAGAATGGCGACGATAGTGAAAATTTCTGTGTTAGAACATACCTAAACGATTACAGCTCCTCAACGAACAATTCTTTCCAAGTTCAGGAAATTCAGCCATCCTCAGAACGACGACGACCACTTCACAAAAAAACCTTTAATTATGAATTTTTAGTATGTTCTCAGATTTCAACTTATTGGATTATTGAAGAACTCCATAATCATCCATCCATCCTCACTTACACTGATGATACATTCTAATCTATTGAAATTTGCATAATTTAGAAAGTTCACAACTTAGTTTCATCACTGAAGTTGATTAGAATTCCGTTACATTAATCTATTGTCTCAAGCGAAAAAATGCTCAAAACACAACCTGAAACTCTTCATGATCTACTGGTCACTAATAGCTTTATTGAACACGTAAATGCGATCATATAATTCTTTTATGAACTGATAATATATCATCATTTTTGTGGAAATTTCAAGATATACAACATAATTTGCAGGTTTTAGTGTTTTATGAGACTGGGCAGATTTTGTGATGGAATGAATTAGAAGATTTAATGCCAATATCAAACAACGCAAAAAGCAACAATAAAAAATATAATCACAGATAAATTTTGATATAATCAAACGAAAACACACACAAACGAACAAAAATGCATGAAGAACCACTGAAGAATTAAGCAACAGGATGATACGAAAAGTGTTTTGCGTGCTAAAATGAACAAATGAGTGATCAGAATAAAAACAGAAAGTAATAATAAAAATGTCGCACAAAAACAGCAACATTCCGATTGGTTATGAAATGAATTCCTTGCGACGAAAAATTATGCAAGTGAAATTTTAGTTTTAGAAAGTAAATGGTTTATTCTGTTTTAAGTGAATGAGAGATGCTCGTGGATTTGATAAAGATTAAGACGACGACGACGACATTAACCCGTACAATATAACAATACTGATGAATTTCATTTGAGGTTCACACTTCCATTTCACTGTTAGAGTTCAGTTCTTGACAATGTTGGTTTCTTCAATTTTTTATGCTTTTCAAATTTTTTCTGTTCCATTTTCTTCATTCTCGCTTCATCTATTTTCTTGACAGCCTCTCGTTCGATATCCTCTTTTATTTGCTTCTTATCGTACGGATTCACGAAGTTCTCATCCCTGCAAGTTCATTCATTCATTCATATGCAGGAATACTCGATTTCATCGAATACCATCAAATCAGAATCATTCATGTAGATGAGCGAAACGATAAAATTCAACTGAAAACAAACAATCGCCGTCATTCTTACGCAGATTCCGCATTCCAACTATCACTGCATAGTGGAAATTTCACCAACTCTGAATATTTTATGGAGCAAAATTCATTAGAGTTACATTCAAAATCAGCAGTTTTTTTTCAGAATTATGAAAGGTGAACTGAATGAAACCAATTCACATTGATCATTGACTCAAAGTTTGGTATAGTCTACCTTGGAATGAAATTGAGTTGTTGTCCACATAAATTCAGCAATTTCATTGAATTCTCATCAAATAAATCAGTCTCTTCAGTGAACTGATAAGACCACTGTACAACTGTTTTGAACTTATAATCTGTTGAATATCTGAAAATTTTGCTCTCTTGAATTCACCACATTTTCCATCAGTATTTAGAAAAACTGGACTAAGACACTGAAAAATCGTCAAATCGGGAAACTTGTTATTCGAACAGAGAGAAGATGGCTTATGATATCCATAAGCCATCTTATGGACATACTGTCATCGTTATTATCGTCAAGGTAGTAATTCTTCATCGCATCATCATCATCATTCCCATTTCCATGAGTTCATTTCAGCCTATTCCGATATCACCTAGCCGCACTCTAATTCAGCGGTTTCATAATCAACAGAAATGTAGTCTACCTTTTATTGACGATAGACGGGAATCTCAAGGCAAATTCACACAAAAACGCCATGTTTTCAACCACAATAGCAACAGCTTCTTTCAGTTCCTTATTATCAAATGGGAATTTATCTTTTGCATGATAATTCTTTCGCTCAATCAACTCTTTCGCTTCGTTCATTACCTGCAAATGAATTAACTTTCACCACCGTTGTTGGATCTTATCCTATAGTATTCTGTAAGCCGTTTGAATCAAATTCATCATTGTTTAGCTACTAAACATTCGAACACGTATACCACATAAAAGAAATGCCTGACATCGAGAGGATGCGCTAGATAAAGGAAATTCGACAGTTCAATCTCGTAGCTAAAGATGCCGAAAATTCCAATTGATCACAAATCCTCTCGTGATCGATCTGTTAGTCAGTTGCATGATATGACGTTCGAATCACTCGTTTAAGCACTTTTCATTCATAATCTCTGTTATCTGTGATAATTTTCATGCGCTAATCGAAGGTCTGACAAAAGTCAACTCAACCTTGAACATGCCACTTATAAGATCCGAAACAAGAGTATTACGTTTTTTGGTATTATCAATGGATAAAACCGATTTAATTGCATTCAGTTGTTCTCTTCGTTTCACTTTGAACGCATTCTTGTCTGAAATTCATAAGATTTCACATTAATAAAGTAGTTATTGCAAATTATAATAAATTATATTAATCTTAATTATATATTAAAATGTTAAGTGTTAAATAATATATATTAAAATGTATAATGTTAAATAATAATATATTAATGTTAAATAATATACATATTAAAATGTTAAATAATCTTCATTATATCAAAATGATCTCATCAAAGTCATTCACTTGAGAGCGAAAATTTTTTAAGAATGAAAATTTCCACTCGATAAGAAACTCTGTGGAACTTACAAAATTTCACATGGTTTTCGACATCGTCGATGTGTTCATTCTTNGACGCTTATTAACAGGTATATTTGACTAATACATAATAAATGTGGTCCATTCATACCGAATGATTCACCTGAAACATTTTATCATTGAGCAGCCAATAACTCGATGGATTCAAAACTTCAGTGAGAATGTCTACTTTTTCTTACTGTTCAATGCTGAACAAATATTATGAGGAAGTTTACACTGAGTAATATCCACTCCTGATGGTTTCATTCAACGTATTTCCATCCGCTCTACTCGAAAAAAAGTATACAATGGATTTTTTCAATATCTAATCGAACACTTCATGATAACGATTGAACACGTCATGATAATAATTCATAGAAATGACATTCATTGTTATGGTGAATGTACGTTTCGAGGCTGTAAGGAGCTTTTTTCAAAATAAGGTCTATAAATACCGATGTCAACGTGCTGTAATATTTAAGGTGTAAATATAAATGCTGAGCTGTTTAATACGAGTTCATGATAGTGCTTAAGCAGTTCAGGTTGGAACTGTTGAAGGGGTGGCTTAATTATTCAATTGTGAAAATGTAAATTTTGCAAAATGTAAATAAATAAAAAATGTAAATAAAAAATTTTGCAATTATTCAACGAGTTATTTAATCATTCAATTTAATTCATTTATTCGATTTGATAGAAATGAATGAATGAGTTATAAAACAATTGTGATGTGAATTGGGAAAATGATTGATAACTGGAAGATTCTGAACATAATATACAACAAAGTGGATCAGCGCTACATAAAGACGACTCCAACTAGAGTTAACAATCAACTGAGATTCAAGCAGACCTGGGCAGTGGTCAGGTTCAATTCGATTAAGGAAAAATCTAAAAAAAACAACTGAAAGCTTTGTGGCGCATCCGACACACTGTGGCATGTCCGACTATTTTTGCTGAGGGCATAAAACTTGTTGTAGGTTTGGATAGCTTGTGAATAATGAACGTGGAAGGCTTGATGACTAGATACAACTCATCTGACGATGAATCAAAGAATAATTTATTCAAATTCAACGTATTCTTCATCATATGCAACATGCAAATTATCAACCGCTTATGTTTCATTAGCAGTTTGCAAAATATATTGTGTTGAATTGATTGTTGTAAATAGGTTGTTGTCGTTTAAATTGATTACGTTTCTATTGAATTCCATCAACTCATTGAAAAATTATAATAATGGGATCTACTGAGAGTAGCCAAGTCGATTCGAATCACGCTAATAACGGTGAATCGAGTGAATTTAAAGGTGGTATTCAGAAACGATATTGTCACTGTTGTTGCAGTGTGAGTGCTAGTGAATATTTCATTCATTCAACATATTTGCTAATTGTCAGAGGAACTATCGAGTGAAATTTATGTCTGCACCTTTGTATGGCCCAAGCCTTAAGGCCTTAAGCTCAACAAGCTTTCGGGACGCTTGAAAGTACCGCTTTTCACACCAGAAACCATTTTTGCTATCCACCCGGTTTCTTTCTTAACGAAGGATACGGTATTGCTGCAATTCCAAGTCTGATCACTTACTTCCAAAAACTGAGTCATGAGGGAATTGCATTCTTTTGATGCGCGCGATTGTGCTAACATAATAATGATGGATGCATATTGTTCACATTGCGAATCGCTTTTAGAGCTGATTAATAATGTGTGATGAGGCAGAATTCGGTGTTTGAATGCGACGTAACTTGATTGTATTGGATTGAACGAGCGATATACTACTAATGCATTCAGTGCATTTGCAGACAAGGAGGACAATGTCGTTACTGAGAACAGCACAACGTTTGTGGTCGTGTGGTGCTCAGTTGAAGGTGAACGGTGAGATACCGTTGATTGTCTACCATTCAACTAGATCCAAATTGAGGGTGGTTGTGGCCGATGTGCCTGGACCAATGGTCAAATGCGTTATCTCATTTGGTCAGTTATTTTTTCATTAATTTCAAGCAAATTTTTGTGTTTTCCTCTGCTTATGTTCTCAGATTTATTCAGTCAATTTCACTGGAATTCGTTCCTCTGCAATCATTTGCTTATGATGAAACCGATTTATCGTATTGCTAGACTGATGAGGGATACGGTTACGATCAGTAACAATTACGATTAAATTACGATTAATTACGGTACGATAAGTTATTATTACGGTAGATTACGGTAATTAACGATTAATTACAGTTACGATTAACGATAGATAATGATTAAATGATTAATATTGTAGTTATTAATTATTATAACGATAATTATAATATTCCAGCGACCGAAACGAACACAGACGATGGATTACCACACACACTCGAGCATTTGGTGTTTATGGGTAGTGAGAAGTATCCGTACAAAGGAGTGCTGGATATAATTGCGAATCGTTGCCTTGCATCGGGCACTAATGCGTGGACCGATCAAGATCATACTGCCTATACGTTGAGTACTGTAGGCAGCACGGGCTTCTTGAAAGTACTACCCGTCTACATGGACCATGTTCTACGGCCAACCTTAACGGTTCGCTTTCTGGATAATAATAATAAAAATAATCGTAATAATAAGCATAATAGCAATGATGATAATAATCATAATAATAAGCATAGTAATAATAATAATAGTAGTAATAACAATAATAATAATGACAGTAATAATAGTAATAATAATTATAATAATAAAGATAATAACAATGATAATAATAATAGTAATAATAATATCCCTTAAAGAATGAACAATATATAACCGAAGTGCACCACATCAATGGTAATGGTGAAGATGCGGGTGTTGTGTACAGTGAGATGCAAGATCATGAGTCTGACATGCAGGAGATCGTCTCGAGACATCGCAAGGAACTCTTCTATCCCGAAGGTTATTCATTCGGGATTATTGTTCTCTTCTTTGTTTTCAGTTTTGAAAATTATCATTCAGATTTAATTTGTTTATTGGTCATCAGTGTGAATTTCTATCGTATATTCACTTAGTTGTTATATTTATGAATTTGACTGCTCTCATTTACGCTTTAAGAGAATGATTGCAGGATGTTCGTATCGTGTTGAAACCGGTGGTCGTCTACCGAATCTGCGTAGCTCTTGTTGTAACGATAAAGTCCGCGAGTTTCACTCAAAATTCTATCACTTAAGCAATATGATGATCGTTGTTTGTGGAATCATTGATCACCAAAAATTACTCGATACAGTCTCTGGTGTTGGTCAGTTCATTCATTTATTGTTTAAATCTTTAAATCGCTTTTATCCATTTTCTTTCAGTTCTATCATTTCATTCAGCAAAAGTTATGACATGATAAACCATGAAGTGTGATGTTTTGAGTAATGATAGAAGAGCTGTTCCGAAGGTATTGTTTCACAATTGAATTGAGTTATATGATATTAGCTGAAGGTGGATTATTCTTTTTATTTGATATTTACAATCAGATTGTGTTCTTAAACAGCACTCAACAGCAATTGTAAATAAGCATGAACCAATGCCATTTTACGTTTTCCAATTTTAAGTGAATGCTGAATTTTCAGAAGAGAATTTACTGGATAGGATACCGAAATCTTTTGAAAGACCATTTCAAGACGAAATACCGAAAATAGATGAATGTCGTGAGGCATCTATTGAATGCCCATCGGATGATGAGCAACGTGGAATTGTCTCTATTTCTTGGATGGGGCCAACTGCTTCGGTATTTTTAAAATTATTAGTATTTTTATTACTGCAACTTCGGTTATTATTGTAATTGTTATCGTTGTATTCAGTTTCATTTGAAACTTATTTCTTTTACCAATGATTATTCCAAAATGTCAATGTGTATATTCTAATTGCAATAGGATCTGTATACGACGAAAGCACTGGAAGTGTTATTCGATTATATGGAAAATACGGCAGTCGCACCGTTGCAAAAAGACTTCATTCAAATGGAAGATCCATTCGCAAGTTCGGTGTATTTTTCGTTATCCGAACAGAGTACATCCGAAATCGTTATATCATTCGCTGGTGTTCCAATTGAAAAGCTAGAAGATATTAAGAAAAGGTTTGTGGAGTTATCGATTTGTCAACGTGTGGAAAATTCGAACTTTAATTTCACATTTACAATTAGTTGTGCTAGAATACAATACCAAAAATTGTTTGGACAATTCATATCGCATTGGAAAGCCGCAGTCTTTTCGATGAGATTCGATCGTGTTGATTAGAGACGAATGTGTTGTTGAAAAATAATAAACTTCGATTCGATGGGAAATTGTTTATTCCATTTTATGTAAATGTTCATTTCATTCATCTGAAAATTTCATTATTCATTTACGTTGTTGCTTCTCGTTTTTTTGCTGCTCCGTTATTTGTTTCAAATTGACAAGACGTTCAGATTATTCGATAAAACAATTGTGGAACATTTGGATGCCGAGAAGTTCGATATGGAGCGACTCGGTTTCATTATTGAACAGTCAATTTTGAAGTCGTATCTGAAGGTGGGTAGTGTTTGCATTCGTTCAGTGC